AAAAACTGATAGAAATTAGCAGTAGAATCATCTTAGCTATCCTGTGGATATAATTACATGATTTTTTTCTCCTGCCTTTTCTTCTTTCCCTCATTTCTCTTATGTAATTCTTATATTCAGTTTCTTTCCCTTTTACTATATATATTGTACTTTTCACATTTCATTTACTCTTTCAGGTTCTTACACTAGGGAGACAATATGAAGTTTACACATGTGGATCTGATTTGTTTAACTTACCAATGCAGTCTGTAATTGTATTCATTTATCTGAAAAGCCTCTAGTTTATCTTTCTTTATAGCTGAGTAAAGCTCCATTGTATAAAAAATATGATATCTTTTTTATCCATTCCTCAACTGAATGGCATTTGTGTTGTTTCAAGGATTTAGCCATGACAAACTGTGCTGCTATAAACATGGGTGCATATGTATCATTGTGGCATGATGTTTTCAGCTCTTCTCAAAAAATACCTAACAGGGGAATAGCTAGATTGAATGGGACTTCTAATCTTAGTTTTCCATGGAGTCTCCACATTGATTTCCATAGAGGTTGTACCAGTCCAGACTCCACCAAGAGGTGGAGAAGAGTTCCTTTTTTCCAGCATTTGTTATTGGTTGATTTCTTTATGGTAGTCATTGTTTCTGGAGAAAGATGGAATCTCAGTGTTGTTTTAATTTGTATTTCTTGAATGACCAGTGGCGTAGAACATTTTTTTGTATATTTATTTGCTGTTTGCTTTTCTTCCTCTAGAGGCATGTATTCATCTCAGATTAGGCAATAAATCTTTCTAATCAAGAGAATTGTCTTATCTTTAATGTTGGCTGTTTATTGCTCTTGAATTCTGAGTGAGATTTAGCTCCTGCAGCTGCAGTGTTATCTTGTCTCCAGAGAATGTGAATATGAGCTTTCCCTAAGACAGCCAGAAAGCACTGCAGTTGGCAACTTAACCTTTACATAGCCCTGTCCCCCGTAAGTATGGAGAGAATTTTCCTTTCCAACAAAATGGAAATTATTTGGGGAAAAAGCTACATCTAAATATGAAATGCTAAAGTGTGTGATTATAAAATAATGCTTAACTACATCTAAACTTGAAAATAGTTCTGTTATTGAAATAATCACTATATTTTGGAATCCTGGCTATAACTTTTAAAATCCAACATTATATTTTCTAGGAATTATTCCATAGATAAACTAATAAGCTTTGATCTCTTTTTTAATAATGAGAAAAACTGACCTTCAGATTTCTTCTGAACACTAAGAAAGGAAACCTATTTTTTCCTGAACGCTGGCAAAACCTTAGAAACTGCATAGTAGCATTAATGGAAAAATTATTGTAATAGTCTAACAGCATGCATTCATTCATTCATAAACTACTTTCATTACTCTAGCTACTTGATGCAGCACTAAGAAGAAAAAAATAGATGCAAACTGACTTTTATGAATACCAGTCAGTGTAGGATGGTAGAGAGTCTTTAAAGACTAGATGCAGGGAAGCTAATTATGACTTAATCAGTCATTCTTAATTAGTCATCTTGTTGGTATTTAGCTTTGTGTGCCACTTATGTTCTGTAATTTAACTTCCTTCCCATCATCAGTGCACACATGTCTTTATTCATCAGCTATCTTCATTTTTTGTATTTCATTCATATTGCATAGCCATATTTTGGAAATGTTAGAATCATGGACTTGACCCTTCTTTACCCCAGTTAAATTATTCAGTTGCTTCCATTACAATTGCTTTCTCCTAGTAAAAGAATAAAGGAGATATTTAATTTCTTGATATTTTTCAGACTGGAAGTCTTGGTGTGAAATGAAGGAATTATCCTCAAAATGGTTCACTGATGAAGAAAAACTATCCAAAGGAATGCTAATGAGAAGGATCAAGAATCATAGCCTTCAATGCTCCAACTTTAGAGAAGCCTGGAAATATGAGGGTGAATTTGCATGGCATCAGGGAAATCAGGAAAGACACTTCAGGCAAGTGTCAACTCTTAAGAACATCTCTACTGGGAAAAGACATAATGAATACAATAATTCTAAGAGAAGCATCCCCCTGGAGTCAGTCCTATTTACACAACAGAGAACTCCCATAGTAAAGCAAGTACATAAATTTGATATTTATGATAAAATATTCTCTCAGAATTCAGTCATAATTGAATATGAAAGACTCCATCCTGAGAAGGAATCTTTGATAGATACTGAATGTGAAGAACTCAGTCAGAGTATGCAATTTAGTAAAGAAATAAGAATTCCTCCTGGTGAGAAACTTTATGAAAGTCATGATTTTTCAGATCTCTTGAATTTCCACTCATTGTTTATTCAACATCCAACTAGTAATTTTGGAAAATTATCCCATGACTATGATGAATTTGGTGATGCCTATAGCTGTTACTCATTCTTTACTCAGCCTCAAAGAATTCACAGTAGAGAAAAACTGTATGCATGCAGTGACTGTGGAAAAGCCTTTAGCCATCACTTCTTTCTCAGTGAACATCAAAGAACTCATAAGGGAGAGAAATTATTTGAATGTAAGGAATGTAACAAAGCCTTTAGACAGAGTGCACACCTTGCTCAACATCAGAGAATCCATACTGGAGAGAAACCTTTTTCATGCGATGAATGTGGGAAGGCCTTTAGCCGTTATGCTTTCCTTATTGAACATCAGAGAATTCACACAGGAGAGAAACCTTATGAATGTAAGGAATGTAACAAAGCCTTCAGACAGAGTGCACACCTTAATCAACACCAGAGGATTCACACTGGAGAGAAACCCTATGAATGTAATCAATGTGGGAAGGCCTTCAGCAGACGAATAGCCCTTACTCTTCACCAGAGAATTCACACGGGAGAAAAACCCTTCAAATGCAATGAATGTGGGAAGACCTTTGGCTATCGCTCACACCTTAATCAACATCAGAGAATACACACTGGAGAAAAGCCCTATGAATGCATGAAATGTGGAAAGTTTTTTAGGACTGATTCACAACTTAATCGACATCATAGAATTCATACTGGAGAAAGACCATTTGAATGCAGCAAATGTGGGAAAGCCTTCAGTGATGCTTTAGTTCTAATTCATCATAAGAGAAGTCATGCTGGAGAGAAACCCTACGAATGTAACAAATGTGGGAAAGCCTTCAGTTGTGGCTCATACCTTAACCAGCATCAACGAATTCATACAGGAGAGAAACCTTATGACTGTGATCAGTGTGGGAAAGCTTTCCATCAGATCTTGTCTCTTAGGCTACATCAGAGGATTCATGTGGGAGAAAAGCCCTATAAATGTAATGAATGTGGGAATCATTTTAGCTGTGCCTCAGTTCTTAGACGACATCAGAGAATTCATAATAGAGAACCCCTTTGATTATAGGGGAAAATTTTAGTTATCATTCAGTCCTTATGAATGCCAGTGAATTCTGTTTGGTTATTTCTATGAATATAATACATGAAGAAAGATGTTCATCCCATCATCTTGCATTACTTGAAATGACTGAGTAGTAGACATCTATTACTTTTGGTCTATTCTATATCCACCTTAACCATCCTCAATGCATATGATCCTGATCAAACTGAATCAGCAGAGGTTTGGCCACAGAAATTATTTTACTTCAAACTAGTGGTTGGTAAGAGATTGGAAGCTAGGCACAGTGATGGATGCCTATATTCTCAGCATTCTGGGAGGCTGAGGAAGGAGGATTGCAAGTTTCAGCCTAACCTGGGGAATTTACCAATTTAGCAAGATTGTATTTCAAAATAACAAAAGAAGTGGGAGTAGCTGAGGATGTAGCTCAGTGAGAAGCCCCTGGATTTAATACCTAGATATGGAAAAGAAAAAGAATTCCAAGTAGACATGTATAGACCAATAGATCTTTTTATGGTTATTGTTATGTCTGTTAAGAGAAAAATTTTAAAAATAATTTTTGGGAAGCTGTAGAAATAAAGTATGCTGTATGCTTTGTCTTTTTACCTTGCCGGGGAGATGGCTGAGTAGAATAAGTGCTTCCCTGTCTTTTGACCTGATTTTGAGATGAGCTTTCATTGACTGTGTTTTGGAAAAATAGATATTTTAAAATTTGTGGACACCTATTAATTGCACATCATTTTTGTATGAAATGATGCATTCTGTTTTTCAGTAAAAAAGCTATTGTGTAAGTGGGTTTGAGCTCTCTTTTCTTTCTCATAATAAACACCTTCCCATATGTGAAGTGAAAAAAATAATAATAATTTTTGGAATTGCAGGTTTTGAGGATTCTGTAGGGTTAAGAACTTACCAGTAGCTTTGTGCCACCCAGTGCAAAAAGCCTTTCAAGAGATAAATATGAGGAAAATGGAGATAAGAAACATCTAATGACATCCTTTCATTTCAGTTCAGCTATGCATGATACCTACACTGTTCTTTTACATTTTTGTGATCCAATAAATTTCCTTTTTCTTTTTGCTTAAGTTAACTTAAATAGTAGAATATATTCACTATACATTTGAGAAGTCCTTAATCATGTGGCATAATTATTTTTCAAAGGAAAACCTTATGATTGTTGAAGTTGAGTATATAGTTTTCATAAAGCTGAAAGGATTATTAATTTTTTCTGATAAAAATGAGTGTGTAGCACATTAAGGACAAATGCTTCAAAATTCACTTAGTAAAATTCCTTAACAGGCTTCCTTTTTTAGGAGATAAAATCATTTGGGCAATGACTCATATGTTAGGCCTGAAAATGGAGACTGGAATCTAAGAAAATTTTTAATT